GTGACTCCCATTCTCAAGTTCACTTCATGGTCCAAGTCTTCTGTTGATGCTTCAGTCTCCTAACAGATAGAGTTTAGGAGGAGATGAGCATGCCCAGTGCCCTAGCTCTCACTAAGAGAAGCCAGGGAAACTTCTTGTGCCATTTCCAGTTAGAACCTAGCCACATGGTTGTACTGAATTACAAGATGGGATGAGAGAATGTATTCCTGCTAAATTTAGGGACTCTGTTATCATTTAAAAGGATAGAATGGATTTTGAAGGACAATTAGCTATTTCTGCCCCTTTATCCTTTAGAACTCAGCTCAAATGCTTCTCCTCCCTTCTTTAGAGAGACTATTTGACACTATACTGTCAATAGTAGGCCTTTCTCACTTATTGTGTATTACAGAACTTGTGCAGCTCCACAACAGAAATTATCCATTTATTTATTTATTTCTACTTTTTTATGGTCTTGTTCCTCCACTAGAACAAAATTCCTTGACTGCAGGCAACTTATCTGTCTAGCTGCTCATCACTTGGTATATGGCAGAAACCATAAATACATGAAATCAGTGAACAAATCATGAACGAGGGCCATTAAAAGAGATAACTGATATGTAGCTAAGCTTTGGAAACAGCCCAAATGCCCAAAAATAGAAGACTGGATCAAGAAGATGTGGTACATATACACCATGGAATATTACTCAGCATTCAGAAAAGATAAGCACATGCAATTTGCAGCAACATGGATGGCGCTGGAAGGGATCATGCTCAGCGAAATAAGCCAGAAAGAAAAAGAAAAATACCGGATGGTCTCACTCATAGCAGGAATCTAGAAAACTTAAATAAGGGACCAGGAAAATGAATAACTATAAGAAAGTGAAAATCAAAATCAACATAAAACTATGAGCCAGAGACACTTTTTGGGGGGTGGGGTGGGAGGGGAGGGATTGGGGTCAAAATGGGGGGGTTGCAATTGTATGGGGAATATAAAAATAAAATCTATTATTTAAAAAAAAAATAAAATAAAATAAATAAACAGGTGGAGAGTGAGACATAAAAATAAATAATTAAAATGCGATATATTGATAATTAAAAAAAATAAATGTTTTCTAATTAAAAAATAAATAAATAAATCAATAAATCTGTTATTTAAAGAAAAAAAAGAGATAACTGATATGACATTGAGATTAAATATATAGACTTTGGGATCAGACCCTCTTGATTAAAAGCTTGACTCCCTCTTATTAATAATGTGACTATGGGCAAGTGACTTCATAAGTTTTTTAAGTCCCAACTTCTTTATTTATAAAAGTGGAGAAGAAGATTTTTGGGAGAATGAAAAAGTTGATACATATGCCTGCTGGACAGCAAACATCTAATAAATGTTAGTCTGTATGCATGACCATCAAAATAATTATTATTTTTGTTATTATTGGGCCTTATCAAGTCCAAAGATTCAAAGAGGGCTTCCCGTATAAAAGATCTTGGAGATGAATCCAATGGACAAACAGGAGTTAACTCACAAAAAAGAGGGACAAGAAAATAATGTTGTAGGGAGAAAGAACCAGATTTTCAGAGGTCTTGTGGCAAGAACAACTAGAACAAAAGCCAAAGTGGCAAGAGTGAAAAAAGGAAGAGCGTATCTGAACTGAGACTAGAAAGAAAGACAGGACCAGAACATGCAGAGCCTCCGTGAGGCAAGCTTTATCCCAAGTGCAGAGAAGCCACTGCAACGACTCCAAGCAGAGCAGGTGTGTAATCAGATTTGTAATGTATAATATTATTTGTAATATTTGTAAATGCAGTGTAGGGAGGTTATCCCACTAGAATAACTTCTAGAGATGAGACTTCCAAATCCAAGTTTCCCCCTGCAGTCTATGGGGCTCTGGCAAGCAAGCAAACTATAAAGTTGCAGACTAGGATGGGCTTGATAGTGATAAACTTTATTTTATGTTTCCTATCTTCAATTCAGCAAGTTCATGTGCTGTGTTCTTATAATCCAAATTTTTCATGTAATTTTTATTGTCCTGAAAGTATGCTATAAAAAACTTAAAACTTAAATGTATTTGTATTCAACATATAAAAATTTTGATATTTTTAATGAAAATGTAAATTAAGGTCAATGTAAATAGCTAAAAGCATTTTGAATTTTTTTTTTTAAAGATTTTAAGGTATATCTTATTTTTATTTAAAAGATTTATTTATTTATTTATACAAGCACTGGGTACAGTCAGAAGTGCTGGAGGCTGAGAGAATTCACCAGAGCCAGAGCAGGGAGCAGAGCAGGCAGAAGGACCGAAGTACACTGCTGAGGGGAGCAGCGGGCGGCAGGAGAGGTCTGCGCGCCATGCGGAACCCTCCTCCGGTGGCTGGGGAGCAGCCGGGGATCGAACCGGCGCTGCAGAGGCTGCGGGCAGCTTCGCAACCCAGCGCTCAACCGCTGCGCCACCGGGGAGGCCCTTGAATGTTTTAAAAAAATTTTTTTTCTTCTAAAATATTAAAAATCCATTATTGAAGTCAGAGCAACTAGTCGAGAAGAAATAAAAGGCATCCAGATTGAAAGGAATAAGTACAAACACTTCATAGATGACACAAAGAAGTGGAGGTAGAGAAATGTGGATGATAGGTACATAAATGAGTGCAGCAAGTGTGGACAAAATGTGGTGATTCCTCCAAAAATTAAGACTAGGATTATCCCATGACTTAGTAATTTCATTTTTGGGTGTAAGCAGAGTCTCGAAGAGATATTTATGCACCCATGTTCATAACAGCACTATTCACATAGCCAAATGGAATTAATAACCCAAATGTCCATCAACATGGATGGATGAATGACGAAAGCAAATATGAAACATTCATACTATAGAGTATCACTTAGTTTGAAAAATGAAGGAAATTCTGACACATGCTATGACATGAATGAATCTTGAGAACACTATGCTAAATGTAATATCATGCACAGGACAAATACTGTGGATTTCACTTATATAAGGTATAGAAAGTAGGCAGGTAGTTCCCAAGGGTTGGGGGTGGAGGGCAATAGAGTATTATTGTTTAACTGGTACAGAATGCAGTTTTTCAAGGTGAAAAGAATCCTGGAGATGGATGGAGGTGGTCACACAAAGATGTGAATGTACTTAATGTCACTGAACTTAAAAATGGTAAAGATGATAAATTCTATATTATAAGCATCTTACCTTGATGAAAAATACAAATAATAAAAAAAATAAAAATAGTAATAATTAGCTATTGAAGAGAAATGTGTCACAATTAATGCATGTCAAATTTTAAAACAAAATATTTAAAAGTGGATATTTTCCATTTACACTTTAAAATGTGTACTGACTATTATTAATTAAAAAAAAACTATTTGCAATTCCAGCATGAAATGTCCATCTGGAAGCCAATTTAATTTATGGATATTAGTTTTCAAAAGTGTTATGCTGAGAGCAACAGACACTCAAATTTATGAGGAATACAAATTATTTAATATCACAAGTATTGAATAATGTAATATGCCACCAGGTTCGACTATTCCATGTACCATGCTTATTCATGAGTACCTTCCAAGCCACAAATTGGAACATGATGAGAATCAAGAAAATAGATGCTCTGCATTTCTGGGAAACAAAACTCATTATGCAAGAATCTATCGCTTTCATGCTTTCTGCGAGGAGAGCTTTGACAAGTTAATGAGTCTGTCTTTTCTTCTTGAGTACTTTTGTTCCTCAAATCTTCTTCATATTCTCACAGTGTCTGTGTTCACAGTCTTTTCTGGAAGGTGGGACTTGAGGAACAACATTTCTTTGGAGCCTGAAAATGGGTGCTTGATTCATGACATGCTTCCTGGAGCGCCAGAACCCTGTGACAAAGGCACCCATATATCTCTCAAAGGATGGCACTTTCTATTCCTCCAGTTGAAAATGTACTGGATCTATCCACACAGTGAGGGCGGGAAGGGTTGTTATTCCAGAAATTGTTTGTCTGAGGTATCTTGAATTTTCCAGATTTCAGGCACATTTTTAAAATACCCTCCTCACACTTTATTTCTTATACATGGTTATCATTTTATGATATACTTTTATTCTTTATCAATTATTTCATATGTGTGTGTCTCATTTCACCAAAGACGATGACATTTCCAAAGGCAAGGGCTTTGCTTATGTAGCATTTATCACATTGTCGAATTAAAAGAGTGAACCTCTGCCGACCTTTTCACTAGAATATAGAGTAGCCATGAGATGCTGCATATTCTCCCACCCCCCAAAACAGACCACAAGCAAATCAACTCCAGGTTTAGAAAATGTTTGGAATCTCTGTGATCTTCTGTAGCAATCAGAGGAGGCTTGTCCATGCATGTCTGAGATTGGCTTTACCAGAACCCTGGGGATCAGTTGTTCTCACTGAGAAAAAGGACTAACGTGTTATAGATACTCAGTAAGATCAGAGAAGTCAAACTTTTGAGAACATGTAGTTTACATTGTTTAAAGTTAGAAACTTGCAATATGAGACAACTGTCTCCTAATGTCATAAGATCAAATTCACTCAGCTACATTTTACCATCTCTGTGATCTTGGAAAAGCTATATATACAGGTTTTCTCATCTCTGAAATGAGGATTAAAATAGGACCTACCTCATTGCATTGGGCAAAGATTATATGAGGCAGTGCATATAAAGTTCTTAGTATAATTGGGTCTCAATGGGTATTAGTGATCCTGGTGCTGATGATATGGATGGCAAGACAGAGCTTGGGTAAAATTCATGTTCCCTTACAACTCTGGGATAGAAGGCTGGTATTTAGAATTAAGAAAACTAACTGTATTAGGGATGCATTGTTATCAAGCTATAAAACACAGCTGAATGTTCTTTAAATCTTGAAAAAAACAAGACTTTCTGTGATGACATCAAACTCATTATAGTGGGGTGACTATTACAGCGGCCCTGGGATAACCATCAATGTTAATAAGAATGTCAGGTTGTGTGAAGAACTTGAGCACACTTAGAGTGTGTTGTAAATACATGCGTATTTATTGCTCAAGTTTCAGGGCCACAGGAAAGTCCTAATGTCCAGGGAAAAGTCTTTACCTGAAGTAGAGTAACACTGATTGGAAGACCTGATTTGGTGAGAGCTGAGTTCATCTGTCCCATTATGTGCACACAGCTCCACCACTCCTTTGCTGAACTGTGGAGCATCTATGGGAGAGAAAAGAAAAACTTCAAAGGAATTTCTTTCTGCTCCAAAAACAGCCTGGATTTCCTGGTTTAACAGAGAATTGAGAAGTAAGCATGCATCATTAATTTCTATGCAAAAAACATTCTTCACTTCAAATGGCAATTAGTGATAACATTTCTATCTTGTGTTGTGATGAGATTTTTATGCTAATCACCACATAGCAGTAAATTAATCATTTGGGCACAGTTAGAGAGAATGTATATTTCATGAGACAGATATAGATATCAAGATCTACTTGATATTTACTCAAGGTAAATGGAAAGCATCTCAAATTATTTTGAAGTGAGCATAACTGAGCAAACAGGACGGTGTAGCAACAAAACGTATGCAGTGTAGATGCAGGGGGATTTTCAGAAACACTCTTGGTGTCATCAGTGTAACTATTGTGAGGAAGGTGGAATACTCTGGGGGATTTAACTCCAAATCATTCACAGAAACCCTCAAAAACCCAGGGTTCACCAGAACCCTCAAAACCACGTTAACAATGTCAAGGGCAAAATCAGCAATCGACCTCCTTTTCCTCTAATCCCCTCCTTTTTCTGTTACAGAATTCACCCTTTTCACATTATACAATATTTAAATGGGTATCTCTTCTCAATTTGCACTTAAGTCTACTCAACCAAATGAATCAGAAAAGCAACTTGACCCTAAAGTCAAATTGGAAAGCTGCTAGTTGCACAGGAAATAAGCCATCTGTCAAGTGACACACAATTTCTTAGTTCAACAATTTCTTTGATAGCAATTTAGGAAAAATAAGGGAATGTATTTAAAGACACCTATAGCTATACTTATTCAACAGCATGTGCCAGGGGCCATGCTGATTAGTAGACATGAGTGTGCAGGTAAAGTTGCCATGAGAACACTCTCCAGACCCCATTCTTCATACTTCTTCTCCCTCTTCTATTTTTCCCAAACCCACTATTATTAGTGCTGATAACTACTCACCAGCACACTCCCCTACCTGCACATATTCACACTGTCCTGTGTAGCCAGGTCTTCCATACTGCTCTAGTGAGACAATAGTGGGACTAGTAAATGAGCCATTTCTGCTAGCATTTGACCCTATATATATATTTTAAATCCAGGGAAATAGATAATTTTTGTGGGAAAAGGCAAAGATGGAATAAGGTCCATTTCCTTGGATCTATTTTTAGGATCTAGGCAAAACACAGAGGGGGAGGTAAAGAAAGGATTTAGTTTCTTGGCAGGATTAGGCATGCGAGGGAGGCAGGAGGCAGTTTGGTATAGAGCAGAAAATGACCAGTTTGGCCACATAGCAGGAATTTGAGACTAGATTACAGCTTTGTGATGATTTCTTTCAAAGTTGCTTTGAATGAAAACTTCTGGGGTGAATGGAGAGGGTGGTGGTGGCAATGAGTGGAAATACAAAATGAAACTTATCTTGGACTATATCATCTGTAGGAATGGTCTCAAGATGCTGCTCAAGGATGACAAACAGAAAGCACAGCAGCTTCGGCTCAAGGGAGATGGAGATCATGAATCTGACCATACTCCTGTTAAGAAGTCCCTCTGCTGATCTTGAAAGAAACGGAAGAAACTGATCCAATATACACAAATGCCCCCATTTAAGGAAGCAACAAAGAGGTAAACCATCAACCCATCAGTTTTTAGAGTTAAATCTAACACTGGGTGTATCCTTTTTGGAAAATAACACTTTGTATTAAGAAGGATTACCAGAGAAACCACACATCATCCTTAGATTCAGATACATAGCTGTCAGGAATCTAAAGCTAAATCCTTGGACAAGAGATTCCTGAGAATCTACATTCCCAAACTGGAGAAGAAAAGAATGAAACAAAATGTGCAAAATGTAAAAAGAATATGGTGTATACATTAGATAAAACTTAGTGACTTGACACTCATTTCTGACCAAACAGGAGTAATAGGTCAGATTTGTCTTTATGTATGAAACAATTAAAACTACATTAAATGCATGAAACAGCAGTTTTCAAGATGCCAGAATCGAAGGAAAATGGTGCTTAAGAGACACCCTAGACTACAGTCTTGAAAGAGTCTCCAGTCGTATTTCAGGGAAGGGACACTCAAGCAGAGGTGAGGAATTGCCATGAATTGAAGAGAGGAATCTCAATGCCTTGTGTGACTGAGGCAGCTGTGTTTACAGAAGTCTCTGAGAGAGGTGAGCCTCACAGAGAAGGAATGCAGAGGATTTCCCCACCCTTCTCCTATGTCTTCTGTGGAGTACTGACTGATGCATGCATTGGCATTAACTCTCAGAAGCAGAGGAAATGAAACAAGTGAAAGGAACAGAGGAAACAGTACTAAGGGCTCAGATAAGGACAGAAATAGCTGTTTCTCCCAGTAAGAGAGGAAAACCTCAGAGTTCATGGGGCTTCATGTGCAGTAGATTAGAAAGTCTTTTTTTTTTTTTTAAGTCTGATCTTCTACATCAATCTGGTCATAAATCAAGTCTTCAGGTGTGTGGTTCTGGATCTGGACTTTGTATTCTATTCCACTGGTCTATTTGTCTATACTGGTGCTAATGCCTAGACATCTGAAATGCTATAGTTTGATAATAAATCTTGCTATCTGGCAAGGTAGGATTAAAAAAATTAGTTAGAATAGGCTATGGTAACAGATCCCCACAAAAGAATCACAGATTTAACACAATAAAGATTTATTCCTTGCTCATGTCCACAATAGGTGTACCAGAAATTCTGTCATGCCTATTCATCACTCTGGACCTAGGTTCCAGGAGCAGGCCCTATCTGAAACATTATCATTTGTCATCAGAGGGGGAAAGGGAGAGTGGGACAAATCATGCACTGGGTCTTAAAATTTCCACCTAGAAATAACCACTTCTACTCATATTTCTTTGCCAAAGGCACATGGTAATACCAAATTACAAAGACTCAGGAAAGTACAAGTTGGCTAGAAAGACAATAGAAAATATTTGGCAAATAAGTGGCTACTTTTTTTTTAAAAAAGATTTATTTATTTATACAAGAACTGGGGTACAGTCACAGGTACGGGAGGGTGAGAGAATTCACCAGAGACAGAATGGGGAACAGAAAAGGCAGATGGACTGAAGACACTGCTGAGGGGAGCAGCAGGTGAGGCAGGAGAGGTCTGCTGTGCCATACGGGATTCTCCCTGGCTGGGCGGGAATCGAACCCACGATGCAGAGGCTGTGTGGACAGCTTCATAGCACGGTGCTCAACCTGCTGCGCCACAGGGGAGGCCCGGGGCTACTTTTGATTCCCTACTTTTATTTTCTTCTTCAGGAATGGTTGGCTCTTGTTAACCTTCTGTCCTCCAGTTACATTTTAGAATTGGTATGGCACTCAAAATAAATCAACCAACAAACCAAAATTAAGAACTCAAACACCCCAAAATTCCATTGTGAAGTTTGAGATTGTATTGCCTCTATAGATGAATGTGGAGAGAATGGATAAATTTACTGTTGAGACTTCCAAAACATTAGCATGGCATATTTCTTCAATTATTTGGTTCTACTTTAATATATTTCATCAAATTTGTATAGTTTTCTCCCTAAAAGAATCTTCTAGTAAAACCCATTTATTTGATGATAATGTAAATGGTAACTTTTTGGTTGCATTTTCTAAGTATTTGACATCTTACTGTATTACTTTTTATTGAGCTAATATTAGTTTGCAACACTATAAATATTTTAAGCATACGGGTTCATACCTCTTCAGATGTATGTTACCACACCCACAAGCAAAGGACCAATAATACTTCACCATAGTCCATTGGGCCCCTTGCCTCTTATGCCTGCCATCCCCACCCTTTGGTAGTCCCAATTCAGCAGTCAGATCTAGGGTTTGTTTCATTTGGTTTTGTTTGTTCCTGTTTTTTTTGTTTCACTGTATTCCACATATGAGTGAAATCACTGGGTATATGGATTTCTCCTGATTATTTTGCTTATATAATCCCCTCAAGTTTCCATCCATGTTGTCAAAAATGGCAAGATTTCATCTTTAAAAATATATATATATTTTACATATAAGGTGATATATATATATATATAAAACTGAATTGAACATAGGAGTGCAAATATCCTTTCAAATTAGTTTTTTTAATTCTTTGGACATCTTGGAAAGGAATTGCTGGATCACATGGCAGATGTACGTTTAATATTTTGAAAAACTTCCATACTGTTTTTCATTCTACATCCCCACCAACAATGCACAAGTGTTTCTTTTTCTCTGTATGCTTGCCAACACTTGTTTCTGCACTTTTGGATATGGACCATTTTCATGGGTGTGAAATGGTATCTCCTTGTGGTTTGATTTGCATTTTTCTGATAAGTGATGATGAGCATTTTTTCTTGTGCCTTTGGTCATCTGTATTTTTCCTTTTTTTGGAGAAGTGTCTGTTTAGCTCTTCTTCTAGAAGGATTGTTTACATATTGTTGAGTTGTGTGAGTACTTTGTAGATTTGGGGTATTAGCACCTTATTGAGTATATGAAATACAAATATCTTCTCACAACAAGTAGTGTATTTTTGTTTCAATAATAATGTTTCACTCTGTAGAAGCTTTTAATTTTCACTTTTGTTTCTCTTGTTTTTGAAGTCCAGTCCCCAAAGATAACACTGAAACTACTATTGTGGGGTATCTCAGTTACATTTTCTTCTATGCATTTTTATGGTTTCTGGTCTTCCAACTCTTTAATCCATTTTGAGTTAATTTTTGTATACAGTGTGAGATAGTGGTCTAGTTTCATTTTTTTGCATGTGATTGCCCAGTTTTCCCAATACAATTTTTTCTCCAATGTGTACTCTGGTTCTTTTGTTGTAAATTAATTGTCCATATAATTGTGGGTTTATTTCTGGGCTTTCAATTCTATTCTATTGATCTATATGTCTATTTTTATTCCAATACCATACTGTTTTGATTACTATAGCTTTGTAGTAAAGTTTGACGTCCTAGAGTCTGTTCTTCTTTATTGTCAGAATT